AGGCCCGATCTTCTTTTATGCTTCAGTTGAGACCTTGGTTGTACTGAGAGGATGTGGCTAGACTATCTCAGTTATGTTGAGGAGTTTGCTTAAATAACTGGGCGCCATATCATTTCAAACTTTGAAAGAAAGTAAAAGAATCTTAAAATCAATCTGATAATGAACAGGGAGTCAGCGTAAATTTGCTAAAACTGGAGTGATGTGTTTATACATAAATAAAGGAAATAAACTGATGACATCCCAGTAACACCAAAGTGTTTTTGACTTTTTTCTTCTTCAGCTCGGCAGAATAACTGGCCCCCGCTGCCTTCTTTCTGCCCTGTGGGTCCCTGCTTCTATCAGGACATCAATGTGGAGATCAGCCAGCGGTTCCAGCGCACGGTCACCATCATGTACTACTTCTGGTTGTGTGAGTTTCTGCAACTTTTAACAGTTTATTATTAATTTGAGGCATCAGTGTTAGAATTTAACATCATAATGAAGTTTTTTTAGCGTGAAGGGAATCTTGTTTTAACACTTAAGACTTGCTAGTTAGAGGCAGTAAACGCTAGCTCGTGCATGCGTGCCTCCTCCTGCACTGTCTGGCAGTAGAGCTTGAATATTTGTACAAAGACTCGCACTTCACTGTTAGATCGAAGACTCTGGGACACTTACACGGAGCGTCTGCACAACAACCAATCCAGCTGGTTAAACTTGCACAAGTTCTCGTTGATTTCTTCACAGAGAAACTGTAGAATTTCTCCACACCTTGTCACTTAGATTATCCCAGGAAAAAATGTAAGAGGAGGCTTTAATGTTTTCAGGGTTGTTTGCATGTCCACAAGTTTTTAGGGCATGAATGAAAGTTAAACCTGACACTGATTTTGAAAGTGAGAGAGAAAGTGAATGTTGAAATGAAATTTGGACAACTGAGTTGTGCTGACAGATTTCTATAATGTACTACAGCTGCAATTCTTTGCCATCTGGAAAAACCGAGATGTACGGTTGAAATTCTTCTTCTTTTTCTCATTTTAAGATATCTCAGGGATTAATGTGTAGTTAAACTTCTTTACACTGACAGAATAATTAAACTGAACTGACCTGATTTGGTTTGGTCCGCTTGAAATCAAAGTGGGTATGATCAAAGTCAAATGTAGCATGTACGTTAATCAGCCAGCCGCAGCATTAAAACCGCTGCTAAGAGTCCTTGCATTGTGGCATTTATGTGCATGTGACTTTGGCTGGAAGGTACCTGAAACCTGCAGGATCTACTTCAGACTCTCCTGCCGTCTCTCCATACAGCCATCCATTTCTTAAGAGATGCAGTTCAGGGTCACTGAGCTTTTACAGGGTGTATATCCTGTAAAAACAGCTTGTCACTGCTGTTTTAAAAATTATCATTTAGATTTTTGCAGAATTATCAGATTTTGAGGACGCCTGATCTGTAAAACTGTGAAGGTGTTATTAAGATTGCATTATACAGTTCCTGTGTGAACATGCAAAGAACAGTGTAGAGCTATTTTAAAAACGGTCTGTCACACTCTGAAATCTTGACCAGGCAGCAGACAACAACAGATTTAGTGAAAATGGCATCATATTGCATCAGCCAGAGCCAAAAGGGAGAAGGATGGGTTTGGTTTTGATCCCTACGATCAGGCTACAGTTCTTTTCCTTTTTAGTCATAGCCTATCTATGTCTAGTCTGCACAGGCACACTGGTCTTCAACCTGATCTCTTCCCTGGCCCTGTTCTGCGTCAACCAGTCCGGTGGTGTTGGTGTTGGTCTCGGCCTCGCCATCCTGTGGGTCCTACTTTTCACTCCCTGCTCCTTTATCTGCTGGTATCGACCCATGTACAAAGCCTTCAGGTGTGTACCTCCGTCTTGGTGAAGACGTTTTGAGTCGTTTTCCTTTTGGGTTTTTGCTCAGTACAGTCGCATAAATTACACTGAGTTGTTAGTTATTGTGCAGTCACCTTAGTAATTATATTGTTCCCTCTTCTAGGAGTGACAGCTCTTTCAACTTCTTTGCTTTCTTCTTCGTTTTCTTTGCCCAAGTGATCGTCTTTATCATCATGACCATCGGCATCCCTGGATGGGGGTTCAGGTAAGGTTCCTAAACAAATATCTCTGTGTTAGCCCAGTCGAAAACCTCCTAGCAACCACCAGTTACTTGTGAAATATTTATATTTCCTGACTATTTCCTATTTTCACAGTATGCGTCCTTGTATATTTGATCTTTGTGTGTCTCTCTCTGTCCTTCAGTGGTTGGATTGTGAGCCTTTCAGCTCTGAGCCCCCACGTCGGTGTCGGTGTGATCATGATGATCAATGCCGCTCTCTTTACTGCAGAAACCGTTATGGGGGTCATCATGCTGAAAAGGGTACATTTGTTCATATTTTCATGTCTCATAAAGAACTTCTTATTTTTATCAGCAGATGTTCAGATTTGTCGTTGGAACAAAAGCACAGGATTGTTCCCCACACTGAGTCAGGGTATTAGCATAGCAGTGAGTTATTTATATCTTTTTATATGTGATTATATCAGGATAAAGTGTTTTAATGCCACAGCAGAAACTAGGGCTGTTCGATATAAGGATATATATCGGATGACGATATAAAAACATCTTTCGTTTCATTTTACGCTATCGTTTGTTTCGTGGTGTCGCAAAATAAACTGTTTACGGCAATATTTTTTCATCGTTTTGTTGGTCACTGTAGTGGCTATATTAATTTCTTAAAGTTCTCTCTTTCTCTTATATTTTATATAACCACACTACAGACAAGCGATTGTTTTTATGCGTTGTCGTTAGCAACAACGACGGTAAAACCAACGCGTGTCCGTTTATGTTCCACATAAACCTTTCACATTAAAGCTCAAGATCCTGTTGAGACTTTTCAAAATAAGGTGAATCACATGAAAGAGTATGCAGAGTATTTACGGATGAGAAGTAAAAAAGAGCCACCAGGTGCTAAAAAATAAACCTTAGACTCAAACGTTAGAACAGGCTTTTCCCCGCAGCACGCCGTGTAATAAATACTCAAAGAAAACGGCGGCCGTTACAACTTATGTCTAAAAATGTATCGTTTCATATAACGGTTAAAACACTCGACTCCAGGTACGCGACGCCCAGCTGGAAACACTTCACAAAAGTCGAGCTGCCCGAGATTCACAGAATTTACAGAAAATGTGAAATTTTTGTGATTTATATCGTTATCAGGACGATAGATGTCTTATATCGGGATATGAGATTTTGGTCATATCGCACAGCCCTAGCAGAAAGTGTCTTGCACAAAACCAGGATTTTGTTGTAGTGCATAAGAAAACAACTGAGAGTTTCAGTGTTAGGGCATTACTTTCATTTTTGAACTCTAATAGACAAACTTAACATGACTCCCAGTTCAAAATAACCCTTATTTGTCATATACTGGGCTGGGCTTCTGTGCAGCAACTAGACCGGAATAGCTGAGATCACCGTTTTAGGGATATCCCTTCCCTGTGACATCACAAACATGCTAAAGTTCGAGCTTTTAGCTCACGGGGATTAATTGCACATACACCACGATGTGAAAACTTTGGATATGTTTACTATGAGAATCAGGTCAACAGTCAGTGGACGGCACACTTCACCTGAGCCAGGGTCTGTGCATCTTTCTAGGGAAAATATGAAAGTCTTACAACTTCACTATTTGAAATGTTGAAAATGTCACATAAATATCCATTCAAACAAAATAAATTGTATGCTTTATGATTGTAAAGCTAAAAATTAAGTGGGTTGAATTTGAGTAGGAAAGTCAAAGGTGTAGAGCAAGAACAAAATTGTCCAAGCTTCAAGTAAACACAGTCGTCTCACCACGTAGTCCAGGTGGTCCATCTACCGCGAAGCATTCAGTAGATAAAGAGCCTGAAGAATAGCCACAATATCAGGTTGTGGGTATCGTTTTCACCCTCACAGCGTGCATAATAAGATGATGAATTGCTGCAAGGATCAGGTGTCAGCGTACTCTTGTCTTTCCCGCTCCAGATCCACAGTCTGTACAGGCAAACCGATGCCAGCTTTCAGAAGGCCCAGGCTGAGTTCGCCACTGGAGTCATGTCCAATCAGGCGGTACGCCAGGCTACTGCCAACGCCGCTGCCAACGCTGCCCAGGGGGCCTTCACCGCTCCTCGATAGAGAGAACGAACAGAGACGGTTGGATAAGACGAGGAGGAGGAGGGGAGCTTTGAGCTCGATGGTGGTTCAGTTTGGTATTTATTTCCCCACAGGTGATTAGAATTTGATGGAGGGAAGTGGAGTCTATATAATTACCCCCTACTTAATTTCAGAGCACGTGCATGAGACAGATGTGGGGTTATCCAATTTCCTATGACGTACTGGAAAAGTTACCTATATTAAACCAAAACAGGAATTGACACATTGTAAGTGTTGATTCAAGAAAAAGAAAGATGGAAAATATAATAAAAAAACAAGAAGATGCTGTATGAATTTATATGAAAAGTGATGCTTCAATGAATAGAGGGACGATGCTTTTACTATGAAATGACAGCTGTGTGCCAAGTTGGATTCTGCTAGCCTTGACATTTTCCACATTTACAGTTAAAATGCAAAGTGTAAGACTGGGGCTGAACACAGAAATGTTGCCATTGCTACATTTGATCCGTAACTGATTTGCTCAACTTTAGCCAGCACTACTTTTTTGTAGCTTAAGTGCAAACTAACCAGTTTGTTTTGTTATTATGCCAAACAAGAATGCCCGTTTACTGTATTGCCAAAACCTTTCGTACTGTAATGATGATGAACATGTGTTGGTTTGGTTCTGGTATCTGTCACTGTTCTTTCAGTACTGCTTGTGAATATCATGACTGTGTCACTGTCCTGGTTTTATTAAAATATATTGTCATGCTTTCACAGTCTACTGCTGCCGTTATTCCCTCATCCTGTTGGAACGATAATAATAATGATGATCACCTGCATTTTAATAGTGGAAAATCCAACCTTAAGCAGGTTCCGGGCTTCACTGTCAGTAACTGACCTTTCATACAACCATTAACCTTCAAACTTTATTAGATTTATCCCTAATAAGGCCTCAAACATGTAGCCTGTGGGCCAGAAACGACCTGGCAGAGGGTTCAGTCTGGCCCACTGGATTGGATTACAAAGTGTGAAAATATTTAATCTAGACAAGCTGTTATCAACATAAAGAAAGAGAAACTGAATTTTAATCATATACATAATATAAAGGATGGACATAGGCAATGTGATGTCACTCGCTGGTTAGTGAAGTCCTGTTCTGAAGCCTCTAGCTGACACTTTTAAACCTCTTGGTCACTGTGGTGTAAACCCACAAGCAGCTTCTATTCAGTATCATCTTAAACTAGCAGTTCAGCCCATAAAGTCAATTCAACAAGGTGCTGAAAACATTCCTCACAGATTTGCTTCACGTCCATGCTCAAGACACAACAAGAAATATTTCTCTCTTTCGACTTTCAGACTGTGTGATCCACGAATTAAAAGGAGTGAGACACTTCTGTTTTACACCAAAAATTTAGGGCTTTTTTTTTCATAAGAGAGAAGCGTCTCTGGCGACACCCAACAAACTGAAAGGAAACTACATCCTTGGTGTCATGCTTACAACTTGTTGCTTAAATTTAAGGGTGGCTGCAACTTGATCTTTGCGGCTGCCACCAGAGGAAGATCGAGTCCGCCGGTTACATATTTTTCTAAACACGTTTATTATTGGCATAACCAGTCTAGAGAAACCCTTCATGCGTTTTGCTTATCAAAACGTCAGTGTGAAGATTGTGTCCTCTCAAAAAGGTCTTAGTTTGGTTTTGGGACACATCAACACCCTCCTGGACCGCTCTGATCCGTCTGACAGCCGTCTGAGACTTTTATGGGCTGCCACAGCTACGTCAGGGACTGCGCTTCACCGTGAAGATGGCGGAGGCTGGGGATACGCCACAAGTCCGGTTTTTCTGTCACTGCTGTAAATGTGAAACAAACCCCAAACTCCCGGTGAGTTGCTTTGGAGAGTGTTTTTGCTCCACACGTGCTGGCCTGAGCATCACCCATGATTTCTCCTCCCCGGAGGGTGTGGAATTAATATTAACCGATTCTTCAAACCGATTTAACTGATTGATTAGTAACTATTATCTCCAAAACCTATAATAATTGGAACCCTTAAAGCACACATGGGGCTATGGCGGCCAGTCTTTGGCTTTTCGTGTGCACACAGCGAGTACTGAAGTCTTATTAGAGCGGGTGAGGGAGTAAAATGTGGCGATTCACGTTGCCATATTTAGAAGCGCCACTGTTGGCCACTTTGTGTCTAGTTGTCTCCCGTCAGCTGTGTGTAAGAGAAGTCAGAGGGGCGTGTAGGTGTCGCCACATTTACCACCAGGATTTAAAAAAATATTTCTCCATTGCTGTTTAATGACACACATTCAGCTTGATGTGGCGGACTGAAAGGTTGAACTTCGTTTACTTTGAGTCAGTTTCTCTTGGAGGTAAAACGGAGAGCGCACAGTGGAGCGCATTTGTTGCGCAGCTGGCACTTTTCGTGGCGTAATTACGCACTGGTATTAGGTGACGCAGCAGAACGAAAACGCACGTTAGCAGGATTTTAGGAATACGCCCGACTTTCTGTTGTTATTCCTTTTGGTTTGAGGGTGTCCCTAAAGTAATACTTTATTTATTAAATCAACGTCTAAATGATTGGATGTTCATAATACCAGCAAACAAAATTCTAAAGTGAATACTGAATCCTTTCTTTTATTGTATATATCTGTTAAAATCAATATAAAGGGCTGTACTTATATAATCTGTTGTGCTCATTTTGTGCTCTTACTACAAACTAGGCTGATGCACTCACACGCACATTCATACAAGCACTCTTTTCGATGCTTAAGCGCTTTTTGCCTAATATTCACATACACATTTGCACTCCAATGAATGCATCCGGGTTCAATATCTTGCCCAAGGATACTTTGACATTCAGACTAAGGAAAATCAAACCAACAACTTTCAGGATAGTAGACAAACCGATCTACCTCCTGACACTCAGGAAGAGGGTATATTTTTTAAACATAGTCTGAAAATACTTCAAACAGACTATCTAACTCAGTATTGAACTGCAAAGTTCCTCCCAGGTCAACCCTGCCAAACAGCATGTGGCTTTCTTATAGTGGCTGCTTGGCATTGTGCTTTTAAAGTTGTGTTTTCAGTTATAAACACTGAAAAGTCAATCACAGTGCTGCAGCTCTGGTATCTTAAACAATAGAGACAGTGAGTATGCACAACATATGACCACACTATGACCACTCCTGGATGGTAAAGCATATTGAAGCCCATCTTCGTGGCTGTATTGAGACTGACACTGTCTACACTACAGTGAAGAGAGATGAAACTTGACTGGCCTGCGCAGATCACCTCCAGAATAAAAACCAGGACGTCGGCTGTGTGCCAAAAATTTGTATTCAACTCCAGCCCAATCCCTGCAGCCAGCCTCTAAAATTTTGCAGACAGGCTTGCCTGAGGATTAGCAGATTAATGCCTGTACTTATGAAATGAAATGGCAGTGACAGTAAACGAGCTTATTATAAAAAAGCTTTTCTGTCTTTGAGGATTTCGTATGCCCCAGATGTGACTCTGGCTTCATTGAGGAAGTAACAGAAGACTCCAGGTATGGCTTTCTCTGATTTAAAAAAAAAAAAAAAGGAACACGTGAAAGCATTTTAAATATACCTCGTTAAAGAATGATAATGAGTGAAGCATGTATGAATTTTCCATTTAACACCACTGACAGATTTTCTTTACTGTCTAGTCTCCTGCAGACCAGCAGAGCATCTGTTCCCAGTGAAGATTCAAACTCACTGCTCTCAGAAGTACGTCCTAACAAATGGCATTTTAATAGGAACACTCCTCTTTCTCTAAAGCTTTGTTTGACACATTGCTTCTCTGGTCTCTCGCCAAGTTATGGCAGCTGCTGTTTATGGAGCGCTCTGCTCTGCTGTCGCATCCGCCCTCCTCCGAGTCCGACCCTGATGACGGTGAGCAGGGATCTGCTGGTCAGAGCCGTCTTCTTCCAGCATCACCGGGCCCTGCTGAGGCCACAGAACCAGAGTCTCCTTCCAACCCGGAGCAAGAGACACCGTCTAGGACCTTCGAACAAAGGCCTGCAGTTGAAGGGTGTGTGAACATGGTATACAGAAACATGACCGCAAGGGTGCTGTGTTATCGATGCAGAAACAACAGCCAATGAGAAATGAAAACCAAGATCAATAACAAGACCAAAACTTTAATATCATGCATATACTACCAGTTTCAAATTACGTTTGTTTAAATCGGTGAACAACCTCATTACAGGTTCAAATTTGTGAAAATATACTGACCTTTACCTTCCAATTCACAGGTAATATTTTAATTTCTTATATTTGTGAAGTTTTCACATGTAAGGATACCTCAGTAATGATTTAATATTTCCAGTGATAAACACAGACTCCCAAATGAAACAGATATAACCGCTGTGATTTTGGTCTCTGCATTTTGAATCCAATCCCAGTTTTGTGCAGCCAGAAGTGACCGTGTTTAGATGAGAGAGTGAAGTGCTCATCGACCGACGCTGCAGATATAGTCCACTAATTACTGCGTAGTGTAATGGTTTACACTTTTTCTTGGCAAGTGAAAGGTTGGTGGTTCAATTACAGCTGGAGATACAAATCTCTCAAACGTCCACAGCTAACCACTGTGGTGAGCTCTTGTGAAAAAGCTGCAGCTTAGTTGCTTTCAGCGCTGCATACTAATAAAATACTATTTTGAAGGGCAACACTATCCACAGAAGCCAAAACCAGTTTCTCTATCAGCCTGTAAGCATTCTTTTCAGTGTTGTAAAGTTTGAAATTAAAATATGGGAGTCTGTGGGGACTGACTTGATTTTGGAGTCAAGTGGCCATTAGAGGAATTGCAGTTTTTGGTGTTTTCACACTGACTTCATTGTTCAGCCCCTTGGACAGCATGAGCAAAGGGTGGATCTTACTGAGAACCCACGGGACACTCCCCACTCACTGAGTAGTGACTTACCAATCCCACAGAAGGCACACCCTAAACTTTAGGGTATGCTTTAGGGCCTAAAGCATACCTTGCTTTTTGTCCTCAATTTTGAGTCATATTGGGTTGATAAAAAAAACATCACTTTGTATTCAGTAAGACATGAAAATAGCAAATGAGATCATAAACTCATCAGAAAAGTACTTTCTGACAACTTTTTACAGGTGGAAACATTCATCCTTTATATACAGTCTATGCTTTTAATCATTATCCTTCCCTTTACACATGCATGCAGTCAAAAACAGTTCAGTATCAGACTAAGTGTATATTGGATGATACGTACTATAGAGAACAGCTTTATACATCGGTTGATGTTTAAAGCTGTTGACTTTACTAAGTCCAACTAAAATAAAGTGACTGTATGATCTGAAGCTGTGAACATACAGTAAAGCCTGGTTTAAGCACTCTAAAGCTGTCCGTTTCTGCTCATTTAAGGATGGTGCAGCAGTTCTTGGCTGGCCTGTTTGCCAACAACGGAAACCCCGGCGCTGCACCAGCTGCACTGTAAACGGTTTTAATTTTAGATTTCACATCACTTGCTCTTGAATTAATCTAACGTTGTGTGACAACCGCCCCCTCTCTCACGCGCCCTCTTGTTTTGTTCTGCTCTCCCTTTTGGTTCGTTTCTCAGATCCAGCATGCTTCAGTTGTACTCAAACCCTGGAGATTATGCGTGGGGTCAGAGCGGTCTTGACTCTGTCATCACGGAGGTCAGTGACACCAGAGCTAGTGTCTATGAAGCGCTGCGCTAGCATCGTTACTTCATTGTTTTCTTTTATTGAAACACTCACATAAAATCATTTGCACACAATTCTCCATTCATCTGTTCACCTATTTGTAGTCGTACCACTCATTTCTCTTCCTACTCACACAGTTATTAGGACAGTTGGAGAACACAGGTCCACCCCCAGCAGAAAAGGAGATGATCTCATCCCTGCCAACCGTTTGCATCTCTCAAGAACAGACAGGTGGGAATTCCAGTATGGCACATGTACACCGGATCACATGATCTCTCCAGTACAGCTCAGTAGCTTTTTAAAAATTTTGACATATGACATTGGAGTTTGCATAAGATACACACACAGTCCTTCTGCATTTCTTTTACTTTTGATATTTTCTGCCCTTCCTCCTCTTTCCTCACTCCGTAATTACTTCTTTACTTTCCTTGTTCTGAGGATTAAATGGTTTAAGTTGAAGAAAGGAAGAATGTTGCACAGAGCTGAGTTGAGACAGGCCCTGGGTGGTAGGGAAGAGTTACCAGATGACTGGGAAAGTACAGCTGAAGTGGTGAGGGAACCCGCCGAAAAAGTGTATCCTCTAGACCAGGTGTGTCAAACATGAAGCCCGGAGACCAGAATCGGCCCGGTCAAGATAAATGTGCCATAGAGATCCAGCCCACTGGACGACTCTGGAAAATGTGAAGGCGTGCAGAAGTGATTTTGACTGTTTAACTGTATTTTCACAAGTTTTGCACCTTTTCTAATAATAAAGACCTCCCCACACTACACCAAAGTAATTAAGTAATGGATAAACAGTTAAATCACAGTGGAAAAACAGAAAGCGGTTTCTTTTAATCTTCTATAGAAGGGCCTGACTTTTTTTCTCTAAATTAACCAAAACTTTATACTTTAAACTACCAGAACTTTTTTATCATTTAGTTTTACTGGTCCAGTTAACTTAAACTCAAACTGGGCTGTATGTGGCCCATGGCGTTTGATATCCCTGCTCTAGACAGAGGAAAGAGGACTAGAAGACTTGGTGGTAGAATGAATGAAGAAGTAAAGTGCAGTATTTGAAGAAAAAGTGGGATAGTCAGCGAGATTATGAAAGTTTGGAGGCTCGGCGTACGGCAAAGAGAGAATAAGATAAGATAACCTTTATTAGTCCCACACATGGGAAATTTGTTTTGTTACGGCAGAAAGTGGACAGTGCAAAGTTACATGGGATACGGGGAATGGGATACGAATAAGATACTGTACACAATAGAATAGAATAAAATAAAATATTATATACAATAGAATAAAATAGAATACAACTACAAATAGAAGTGATTTTTAAAGAAAAAGTCATGGGATGGTGATGTAGTAACTACAGAGTGATAAAGCTGAAGAAACATACTATGAAGATACAGGAAAGAGTTGTTGAAGTTAGGGCAAGAAGAAAGCTGTTGATCAGTGAGCAGCAGTATGGGTTCATGCTGAGGAAGGGCACTGCACATATGCTTTGAGAGTGTTTATTAGGAAATACAGAGAAGGTCTACGTGGGTGTAGATAAGATACCAATAGAGGAAATGTGGTACTGCATGAGGAAGTCAGGAGTGGCAGAGAAGTACATAAGGGTGGTGCAGGACTTTTATGAGGACAATGAGACAGTAGTGAGGTATGCAGTAGAAGTGACAGATGGATTCAAGATGGGGTGGGATTACATCAGGGAGCACCACTGAGTCCCTTCTTGTTTACAGTGGTGATGAACAGGCTGGCTGATGAGGCCAGGAAGGAGTCTCTATCGACTATGATGCTCACAGACGACACTGTGAGAGTAGAGAGGCCAGGGAGCAGGTGGAGGTATGACCTGGAAAGAAGATGAATGAAAGTCAGTAGAAGGAAGCAGGTGGGACAAGTGTCAGGGATTTATTTACAGAACAATAGCAGTAAGAGTGAAAGGGTAAGGTTGTGAGACCTGCTGTGATATATGGTTTGGAGACAGTGATAAAAATACAGGAGGCAGATTTGTGGATGTCTCAGATTTGACGATGCTTAGATTTTTGTTAGGAGTGACCAGCATGGGCCAGATTAGAAATGAGTACATCAGAGGGACAGCTCAGGTTAGGATAGTGGATATAATTGGACAAAGGATGCTTAAGATGGAGCTGCTATGCAGGAGGAAAAGAAAAAAAAATCCTCATAGCATTTATTTATTCTTTCAATATTCCTACATTTCCTTTCCTCTTCCTCTTATCACCATCATCCTATATCTATTTTCCCTCTCCTATATTTTCCTCCCTCTCTTATCTTTCCTTTCCTTTAGCTATGTTCCCTTTACGCCTGCTGTGTTTCTGTAATTTATATCTAGCTCCTCTTCCTTCTTATTTCTCCGTTTTCTTTCTGTCGTCTATGTTTTCTTTTCTCCTCTCACTGTGCTTACTCCCTGTCCATTGCAGTTATTTTACTTTTCCTTATTTATGTCCTTGTAGCTTTACTTTCCTTCTCCTGTATTATTTATCTCCTTCCATCTTTCCTTCCCTCATCATATTTCTTTCCTACCTCTTACGTTCCTCTCCCTAGTTTTATCTTCTTTATACTGCCCATTATCCTTTCCACTAATCTTTCCTTGTTTTCATCTTTGTTGTAAAAAGAGACCACTTAATATTATATATTGAGAACTATGTTATAAATCATATTAAGTATATAGTCTGTACCACCTTGTTACACTGTAATAGTCTACAGACCTGTCTAATAACTGGATTTTTTTTGGTTTTGTCTTCTTCCACATACTCGTTCATACTTTTTCCTTCCATTTCTTCCCTGTTAGATTGCAGACTGGAGTGTCCGGTTTGCAGGGAAGAATATTCATTAGGGGAAACTGTAAGGAAGCTTCCCTGCCTTCATCACTTCCACAGTGAATGTATAGTGCCGTGGCTGGAGCTGGTAAGGCTGCGGTCAGTGGGTTTGAGGGGTTTAAAGGTCTGGTAATAAAAATAAAAGATTTCCCAGGTTGTAGCATGCTATAAAGAGTGTTGTGTCACATAGTTTCTGCTGATTAAGAAGAGTTTTTCTACTCTCAAAGCACGACACTTGCCCCGTGTGCCGCAAAAGCCTCGATGGCGTCGACAACAGCCTCCCGCCCACATCGGAACCCGCAGAAGCCCGCTCCCTCAGGACAGAGCAACAGGAGAGGCAGGCGATCTGAGAAACGTGAAGACAACTCTACTTCATTTTACTGTTTTCAGGAGTCACGCCTCCCACGTCGGAAATTTTGCTCCCCACATCAGCTGCTTTTAAATAAAACAGATGTGTCAGAGTCATAATTTGCAGCTTTAACTCTCACTTGGTTCACGCATCTCTGCTTAAGGAACTTCTACTCCAGCATAGTTACCATTTTATGCTACATCTGAGAGTTTGCTGACAAAATTCAGAGGTGATGTGTCCTCCTTGTTACGCTGCACTCTTAGGTGGTTTTCCGAATGACTGATTTTGATGTCATGAACTAATCCCCACTGAGCTATCTGTGGCTGTCAAAGAGGAACTCACAGAATTATGCATTATTCTCTTGGTAAGAGAGTTTCTTAATGCAGTATATTGTTGACCTTTTACCTGTGTACAGCCATTATTAAAGCCCAACCCAGTGATCTTTACTGTCCTCTGTCTTTTCTCCCTAACATATCTGAGATTTAGAAGCAGATATTAACCAGTCACTTAGAAAAACATAGTGTTTCCCAAACTTTCTAAGCCAAAAACTGTTCATTCTACAGAGCCCACAGTTTTTATAAAAACGTAACAATAAAAAAGGTCCGTGTTCAATTTTATTTAAGGGCAGCGTAATGGCATCAGCAAGATATGCTTTCTTTATTTTCCCTTAAAAAAGAAGAAGAAGAAGATTCATTTATCTTGGTTTCAGTTCACATTTTCAACTGGTTATGTGCACAGCAACACTGGGGCCTGCCCCACAGCTCAAAAACCACTGGATTAAGATATAATTATGTGCATATCTGCCAGTTCTATTTGTCTCTTTTGCATTTTGTGGTCAGTAACTGCTCGATGACATTTTTTGTCCATTTGAAACCTCTGTATGCTTTAACAGGAATTCATACCAAAAACAAACAAAAAAAAAAAACCCCCACATAGCTCTTCTTCAGAAAATAGTCACATTATATAGTCAAACTGCTCGTCTATGATATCAATCTATTAGTGTATGACAGCAGAGGAATTGTCACACCTTTTATGAATTAATATGACTCATTTATTAAGCAAAAATTGTGAGCATTCACTTGTTTCAGACCCCAAATGTTATCTAAGCTGCTTTTTCCCTGCTTTATATCGTTTCAAACAGCAGCGATCAGTTAACTGAACATGCATGTGTTTGGACTATGGGAGCAAGCTGGAATTCCCAGGTAACCCATGTAGGCACGAGGAGAACATGAAATTTCTCGCAGAGAGGCCGTAGTATCTCTTTTTCTATCTGCTTAAACCAGTCTGTGCATTTTCCTCTGAGATCAACAAGACATTTATGCTGACTTGATATTTTCTCCTCTTCAGACAATTCTCTGTAAACTCTAGAGATGTTAGTGTGTGAAAATTCCAGTAGATCAGCAGTTTCTGAAACATTCAGACTATCCTGTCATGAACTAACAACCACGCAATCAAAGCCACTTAAATCACCTTTCTCCCACATTCTGATACTTGGTTTGAACTCTTGCAGGCCATCTTGATCAAGTCCACATGCCTATGCATTGAGCTGTGTTATTGGCTGACCTTTTTGGTTAATGAGCAGGTGGACAGATGCACCTTATAAAGTGGTCAGTGAGCATATAAATAAGTATGATTTAGTACAGTGGCTACTGTCCTTACAAGTGGGAGCCCAGCTGCAGTGGTTTTAAAAGTGCAGCACAAACAGTGCTTAGCTGTGTATTCATTAGAGATGCAACATTAAATGTATTAATCCCTAACCAGTACAGCTGCTGTCCATATATATCTACACTGTGATCCGTAGGGAGCAGGTGGAAGAGAGCCTGGAGAGGTGGAGGTATGTTCTGGAGAGAGAGCGAATGAAAGAAAGTAGAAGTAAAACAGAATACGTGTGTGTGAATAAGAGGGAGGTAGGTGTAACAGTGAAGCTGCAAGGAGCAGGGGTAGTAGTTAGGGTAGATGCCATTAAATAACTGAAGTTAATCATTCAAAACAAAGGACAGCGCTGGAGAGAGGGGAAGAAGAGAGGGCAGGCAGGGATGAGTGAGTGGAGACAGGCGTCAGGGATGATTTGGGGAAAGAGTGAAGGGGAAGGTTTACAAGACCTAGTACGGTGTACGCTTTGGAGACAGTTGCACTGATAAAAAGCCAGGAAGTGGCAGAGCTGAATATGCTATAAGATTTTTATTGGGAGCTGCAAGGATGGACAAAATTATAAATGAGGATATTAGTTATAGTTTGGACGTGTGTAGAGGAGGGATGCGGAGCTGCGAGGCAGGAAGAAAAGAGGAAAACCTCAGAGAAGTGTGACAGAAGCAGATGCTAGAGATCAGGTGAGACAGAAGCAAATAAAAGAAGAATTTTTCTTGACAGTTTTAAATCATTTAATCAGCTTTTTATTATTATCCAGAAAAAACAAATACAAAAATGTAATAGCCAAAAACCAAACAAGCAATAAAAAAAGGAAAGGATGAAAAAAAAAACAACGCCAGAGGGTGATCGATTAGTCGCCCAATCCATCAGAGTCGAACATGACAACAGAGGGCAGGATGGTTTATTTATAGGCTTGACCCCTTGAAAGGAGGCACGAAACCGGGATTTGACAGTTGACTGTTGCGCACCGCCAAACACACCCTCGCCCTAGTGCAACCGAAAATAGCGAAATAATGAAACACAGTCATTTTTGTCAATGACTGGGGACCGCAAGAACCGCGTACAACCGACATTTGCTCTCCTCTCCTCACCTCCTCTCCCCTCCGCCCTCCTCGGTCCGTCCTCCTTCCCTCCCTCCCTCCCTCCTCTCAGGGACCGAGAATGCCCGTGTTGTACTGACACAGTAGCGATACGGGCTGAGCAGACATGGAGGCCCGATTGACGAGAGAGGCCCGCGCTGACACATCCAGGCCCAGCTAATGGTGTGTCGGAGTGGATTTCGGAGCATCTCGGGAGATATTACGGATACCAGTCGCCGTGAGGAAAAAAGGATTTAGGCACCGAGGAAGAAGAAATAAGAGGGAGATCCATTTCGGGTCTCTGTTGATTCAACGCAGCCGCCATTTTGTTGACAGTTAGTGTTTTTTTTTTTTTTTTAAATAACCCACACAGCCCTGCATCTGTTATTTTATACCGCCCGAATATAAGTCCCTGTTTTTGTTTTACTCGCATTTTTAAGCAGATTTAATTGCGCGTTTGTCTTTGAGGTAACGTTGGGAGATTTTTTTCTGGTTTAGCTCACTTGCTAGTGCATCGCTAGCCGTCGTAGCTGAGATGTAGTAACACGAGTGCCTGCGAGAATGTGACGGAGATGCAAGATTATGTACATCACTTGTCCCGGGTTGTGTCACTTTCACTCGGTTTACAAAAATTGTATGAAAGCTGTAGGCGTTTGTTATTCATTTGCTGCCTACACGGCGTCTAAGTTAAGTGAAATTTGCTTAAATAGCTCTCAAACAGGCTGCTGTAGATGGCTAGTTAGCTGCTGCCAATGCCATTGATACAGACTGTAGCCCCGTGTCTATTATTGGACTGATTGTACGGGCTGGCTCTTTACAAAATAAACAACACTTTCGTGATGCATGGGGTTATATTAAGCTCCAAGTGGCGATCTATTACTTTACCGCTCCGGCTGTTAGTGCTAAGTGTTGTGGAAATAAAATTGTTAAGGGGGAGCGAGTGGGGGTGCTTTGCATGTTGGCACTCAGCAACTTTGTGTCTTGGAGCTTGGCAAGGTTAACGATCAATTTTAGTGAGTGGTCAGGAGCTGTGTGCAGTGGTTTCCGTTTGAGGTTGTTTGTAATACTCCTACAACAGCGTTGATATATATATATAACTGTAGCCCTTTTTAAATTGTTCTGATCATGTTTTTTTTTATTTTCATTTTGGCTTTTCAGCTGTTGGAAGATTATTTTAATAAAAGGGGGAAATGTGGCCACCACGTTGATACACAAGAAGACAGGACACAGCCAAATAATGTGAACACCGTTTCTGGACTATTTCAGAGGTGAGTGGAAATGATGCACATTGATAGGCATTGTTTACGCAGGAGTAGACGTCTTCCCACCCCAAAAGCATGCTTGCAGAACCGCATGTAGATACTCGGTTTCTTTTGTATTAAGACAGTAATTACGAGTATGACTAGATAAGGGCAGTTGCGGGGGAAATTAGGGCTGATCGGTTCGCAGACTCATGAGTTGGTCCCTTGAGGGGCTGTGTTGACTGCACAGGAAACCGAAAGCAGATAACATTATTTGGTTTGCTCACTCATGCTCTGGTTAGCCATGTTTCTTCTTGTTCTAAATTAAAGTGCACGCATGTTTTTGCGCTGTACTGGAAGTCCTCTGGTTGAACTTCCCTGAGCTGCTGGGGGAGATGTTTGCACGGTGCAGGTATGAATGACACCTGCCTCTGTGTTCCGCTTTGTCGCAGCGAGTTAACGGAGTTTAATCATTGTCCCCGCTTCTTTCTTTTTTAAAGCAACGGTCTGTTACAATTCTATAGCACTTCCGCTGCTGGGTGATACAAAGCAGCGGCGGCAGTGGTGGTGCTGGTGGTTGTAGTAGTAGAGGAATTTGCCTGCTTCCACCCCCTCCTCTGAGCACGGCCCTGTAGTAATACCAGTGGAGCTCTGGAAATGACAGGGAGCTCTCAGGGCAGACGCCAGCCCTCATGTGAATGATGCAGGGGGTGGGTGGGTTGGTTGGTTGGTGGGTGGGTGGGATACTATTGCTATGGCCAAAGGGAAATAAGCAGTTATGAACAACGTGTGCAAAAGTGAGGAGGGAGTGAAAGGAGGGAGGGAGTAAAGGGGGGAAGAAATGAGAGAGGGGGAGCAGGAGTTGTTTACTACGTTCCTCCCTGCTCTGCTATTTCTTAGGTTGTTGGAGTGAAATTGATGTTGAATCTTGTCGTTTTTCTTTTGGCATTTGTTTGCGTTCATAGCATTGCATACTGGTCTTCTCAGAAAACAAAAGCAAAGGACAGCCAGGCGTGACTAATATCAGCCTTCAAAACCACAAGTGTTGCTATTCAGTTGTTTTGCAGTATGACTATGGCAATGAAATGACTGTAGTGCAGTTTAACTGCTTCACATATACAAAAAGTACCTCAGCGCTAGACATGAAAATGATACACTTGAGTGTTAAGGCTGATCAATGAGAAATTAGAAAGCGATGTGGCCTGGTGTCAGATTATCAGCAGGGGAGCGAATGCCAGTAAATGACCTGACTTAGCTTGTTAGAGGTGAGGGGAATGTTTTGACTCTCTGGGAGGCTTTTCTGCCGACTTGTGTCACTAGCTGTCCACAGAGTTGGGTACTAAAGTGGCTTATTTTTGGCATTGCTGCTGTTATGCGACGGAAGCAGCTCCCATCACCGTGAGCATAAAAGAAAGAGGAGAACATTTGTCATTGTGTGTAAAAAGGACACAGGGAAAGGGAGTTGGTGGG